TTATTACAATAACTACCTAAAAGGTACTACTTTCAAATATTTTTTGCTAGTTTATGTTCTGTTGCTAGGCATTTTTTCCATTTTTGGTGCTAGAACGAGGCAAGTCCAAATTAAAAGTGTTAAAATTTCATGTATTTTGAAAGTTTGTTATTATTTGAATAAGTATGCGCTAATTGATAGCTAAGAAGAATATAATGTAAAATAAATAAACTTTCTGAAACAAAATTTGAAAACGGGGGAAAGTTTTTTTCGTTTATTTTTTTTAGAATTGCTAACGCATATGTTTTATTATCCGTGACGACGGGACGATTGTAATACCTAGCGAAGGTCTGAGACTTTTTAGTCCTTCCAGCGGTTCTGAGAATTAAATCTATATTGACACCACTGCGCCCCGCGGCCGAGGTTGACGCATGCCTTGTGCTATACGCGATGAATTTAGACGTGTCTAGTCCGCTATCGCCTAAGATCGATTTTATCCACCGACTTAGGGTTTGGCTGCCTACTGCTTTGTGAGGTTTTCTTACCCCAATAAAGAGTTTGTTTTCGTTGTTTCGAAGAGTTTTAGTTTTTTCTAAGTAAGTGGTTAGTGCAGCCGCTGGGCACACTGATGGATTTCCTTTGAAAACCGGAATTACTAGATTTGGCTGGACTTTCCCTGGTCTCGAAGTCTTTATATTTTCTGAAATTTTGATCTCGTATCCGTCCCTATTTCGTACAATATTCCTTATATCCATTAAGGCTAACGTTTGCATACGATGGCCAGTAACCAGGGCCAGTAGAGTAACTAACTTTTTTGACAACTCCTCGAGCGATAGGTTATTATTCGAGTTAGTTTTTTCTAGGTATTCTAAGAGTATTCTAGGGTCCCAGGTGCAATTGTATTTAGCTTTAGGAGGCTTCAGCCTCGAGACTCCCCTGAAGAAACCTTTTATTCTGGAGTCATCTGCAAGACTAGAACCCTAAATTTTCCCAATCGCCGACCGAAAACAGTTTAAGGTTCCATATGACGCCCCCTTTTTATACTGTAAAGTTAAAAAACTCAAGACCATAGGCACTGTGATTTGAAACGGATCGGACTGGTTGGCGGTGTAGAATTTCCACCACTTCTTTAAGCCACCATTGTATTGCCTTAATGACGAATCGCTAAGTGCCGCTAAGATGATATCTGCCGAGTCTACCGGTGTCTTGTTTCGAGTGCCCTCCTGATATAATTCCTGCAACCAGGGTAATCCTCGGCCAAAGGGGATGAGGTTCCCTGTTTAAGGATTGTAACAAATTAATGTCGGGTTTAAAATAAACTGGTGATGACTCAAGCATTGACATATACACTGGAAACCAAGCCTGAGCTGGCCATAGCGGGACTACGAGGATCCCTCTACTTCCTTCGAACCTGACTTTTTCAAGGGTGCGTAAGATGACTGAAAATGGGGGGAAGGCATAAAAATAATATCCTTTCCAACTAATGGTAAACGCGTCAATCTCAATCGATCCAGGGTCTTTTTTCCATGAGACGTATTTTTTGCACTTCGTGTTCGTTCTGGAAGCAAAGAGATCGATTTCTAGGTTACCAAACTTTGAGATTATTTGACAAAAGGCTGATTGTGCTAGTGCAAACTCTGTTTCAGATTCCAGTCTTCGAGACTCAGCGTCTGCCTCCACGTTGTCTTCAGAGGCTATGTAGCTGGCGAATATCCATAGATTTCTGTCCTCACACCACTGCCAAATTTCTTTGGCAATCTTTGCTAACTTCGGAAACCTCACACCCCCTTTTTTATCAATGTACGCGATGGCTGTGGTGTTGTCTATTCTTAGTAAGACATCGCAGTCTCCCCGTTCTTTAGCGAAGCATTTTAAGCCAAACCATGCCGCTATTAATTCCTGATAGTTGATATGTTGGCCTTGCTCCTCCTCATTCCAATGACCATTGGCCCTGTGTTTATTACAATATGCGCCCCAACCTGAAGAAGACGCATCCGAAAAAATTTCAATCGATGGACCAAATCTTCTTATTTGATTCTTT